ATTATTATTTTTTTTTTATATTTCTGTTCTATCTCTGTCTCTGTCTCTGTCTCTCTGTTCTCCTCTCTCTGAAAATCTCTATATATATATATATATATATATATATATATATATATAAATAAATGATAGACAAAAGGTTAATGGGTTGAATCAGACCAGGAAACTTCTGGTATGAAAAAAATAATCAATACACGTGTTAAAAAAATGCAGAGCTTTTAACTTTTAACAAACCTCTAAAAACAGTTATTTCTGAAGAAAGATCGAGGTCGATCTGAAATATCAAATATAAATAAATACTTTCATAAAAAACATTATTATTTTTTTAATTTGCAACTTTATATATATATATATATATATCTATATATATATATATATAATAGATAAAAGGTTAATGGGTTGAATCAGACCAGGAAGCTTTGGTATAAAAAAAGTGCTCAATACACGTGTTACAAAATGTAGAGCTTATAACTTTAAAAATCTGAAGATCAATTGAATCCGCAACCTTGGTTTCCATCTTATTCTATCCTCAGTTTCGCTACTTTAGTTTAAAATCTACGGCTATCCTGTTTTTCTTCTCCTTCCTTATTCACAACCTCCTCCCCTTTTTATCACACCCAACGTCGTGCTTTTTTTTTATTATTTAAAAAAAAATAACATACCGTTCATTAGTTGGTTTTTAAATGAAGCGTTGAGAGGTCTTTTGATAAAAATCGTCTGAGGATTCTGTAAGGTTGAAACCAAGGTAGCGGATTCAACTGATCTGACTTTTAAAATGCATATATATATATATATATATATATATATATATATATATATATATATATAATTAAGTTAAATTAGCTGAATAACATTTTGATGGCAATGACACAGAGAGAGAGAGAGAGAGAGTTTTTATGGAATGAGTTTAAGCGTTTGCCTGTTTAATATTTTAATTTGATGCTTATCATGTGTTATATTTCATAATAGCTTAGGAATTTAACATAGGTTCGTCATGATGTAATGGTTAAAGAGCTTGATTTGTTTTTCTATTTCTAATGAGTAAGGTCCTGCTTTTAGAAAAACTTAGTAAATGGCAACATACAGATCCATGTATTACATTGTTGCCATTCCATAAATTATCTATTAAAGTTTAAAGATAAACAAATTGTACTAAATTTTATGATAGTGCTACAAATTAGTCAACAAAATCGATGCCCTAGATTCAGTTGGAAGCAAGAAATGGTAAAGAATTGATCAATGTTAAAATCAAAGTCATTTAATAAGTCATTTACTTTTAAATATTTATGCTTCATACTTGTGAAATTATTGCAAAGCGATTTGCTAGGGTGAAATATGGTCCCCAGCCACCACACTAATTTGTAACGTTTTTCGATATTGACCTCTTATCTCTAAAAAGAAATATCAAAATCTGCAAGAAGTGTGTAAGTTTTTCATGTTGGAGAGAAACAATGGCTTTCGATTTATTTCTCATTGCATACTACGATACAATGCACGGGTTATTAGTTAAAAAAATGCAATTCGTTTTTGTATTGTTGTAGAGTAGTGGTTCCCAAACAGTGTGGCGTGCCTCATAGGTGTAGCAGAAAAGGATAGCAGGTGAGGCGTTATAATTGAAACACAATCAAATGTATAGAAACAGTTTCAAAAAATTGATATGCTTAAAATAAACTTGATTTCAAAATTTAAAATATTATGGGTTACTTGTAATTGTATGCATGAGTCCAGTATAAATAATTATTGACCAATTTTATCAGTGTGATATTTTTGCATTATATCAAGTATTAAGTAGATCGTAGCTAGGGTCTGCAAATTGGAGGAGAGAGTTATCAATGATAATATTGTGACTTCGAATCCGCGATTATCTCCGTTTCACCCTCTCTGTTTTTTATAATGTACTTTTTATCACATAAAATTTGTTGAAGTACCAGCAAAGTTTCATTTCGAATGTATAATATGCATTGTTTATTATAGCAATTCATTCCATAAATTGTATATTATAGCGTTATCATTCCATAAGTCGTATATCATAGACTTTTTCTTTCTATAAATTGAATATAATAACATTGTCTTTCTATAAACTGTATTTTATATTGTTGACACTCCATAAAATGTATATTATAGGATTGTCAGTTCATAAATCGTATATTATAGTTTTTCCTTCCATAATTTGTATTCCATAAATTCTCATTCCATAAATTGTATATTATAACCTTTTCTTTTGAATGTTAAATAAGCAAATTATCGAAATGAAAATGATATTTATTTGAAGTTTATTTTTCAAAATTTTGTGCTATGATGTTTGATTTATAACTGAGATCTCCAATCCTATAAAACTGAACACGGAAACGCATGGAAATAAAGTCAATTTATTTCCCTTCAAAATTACAAGAGTATTTTCAATTATTTCGTATTACGATGGTTGATTGATAAGTAAGTTCATCAATCCTATAAAATAAGTTTTATACCAGATGTTATAAAGAAACTTTTATCAAAATAAACTCACTTTATTTCCCTCTAAAAAAAAGATTATTTTCCAAAGATAGTTACGGTTTAGTACAAAACATTTTTTCTGAATTATCTCCCCTTCTATTCCATCTGTTACTCCGTCATCAGTTTGTGTCTTCTTTCGTCTCCTTGTGACACCAAAAAGTGACTGTGTGCTAAGACTTTCCGGGTGAATGTTTAGCAATAAACGTAATTTTGACACATCTAAATTGGACCATAAAACACTCAACTGATTATGTTTTCGATCAAAGTCAAATCTGAATTGTGTGACTCATTCTAATAAAGAAATTAAATATTTTCTACTCGGAAAATAATCAAAATTCAAGCATAATTACGAGGGTTTAATTCATAAGTTAGACATTTTATAAATACTAGAGGGTGCTCAGTAAAAAAAGCGGTAAACTCAGAAAGATTTGAGACAGCCGTTGAAAAGTGGTGACGACTGATGTGACTGAAAAAATCAGGAAGAATTTCTGTACATTTCTCCAATCCTCCACATCGGATGTTCTTCTTCGGAAAGTAAAATAACTTGACGTTCAAAAATCAGTGAGTTCTTTAGCCATACGAGAAAGGCAGAATGCAAGACGAAAGTCGTCTGCAAATAACCCTTAAATGACGAGTCAGAAGATGGAACAGCAATTAATCAATCATAAAAGAACCAATCAGAGTTAAGTAATTACGCGCGAGTCGAATGATTATTCAAGGTCATAAATACTCAATAAAATTATTCAAGGTTATTCAAGGTCAATTATTCCTGAAAGATAAAACAATGATAATATATTTGCCGCTTTTTTACTGAACACCTAGCAGCAAACAAATTTTAGACTAAATATTAATAGTTTTAAGAAGGAAGATCCCAGTAATTGCCTTTTACATTTTCTGTTTTAAATTTCCTTTTCTATATTAGGTACAACAATGAGAGCTGCTAAAGACATAATTACCGTAAACATGGTTTTTGTGCTGCTGCAATGTGTCCGTTACATGCATGCCGACTGCTATGAAAGGGAATTCAAAATGCTACCAGGAGGATACAACATTTATATGAAGAATGATGCTCGACCAGTAATTAAAACCGTGAAAGTGAAAGATGCGACCGAATGTGGGCAACTGTGCGCCAATAAGAACTTCTGCAATGTCTGGCGATTTGGCTATGGAAATTGTCAGATTTTCCACTCCATGAAAGACGAGGTGATAGCGAAAAAATCCTCAACTCAAACAACAAAAACATATTATGAAACAGTAGAAGGTGAGCTGGTGTCGTCGATGTTATTTAAATATGAATTATTTTGATCCTCATCAATAAAAGCTAATCTATCGGCTTTCTTGATTTTTAGACATTTTTTTCTTATGGTCTATCAACATTTTGCTGGTTATTTAAAGCCAGAAAACATTTCCAGATGCTAATGATTTTTTGGATATTTTAATTGATTCATTTTCTACAGATTATCAATTCCTTTCAGGTTATTTCAAACCAGAAAATATTTTTAGATTTTGAGATTAGCTCTTTGATATGATACCTAAACTTTAATTTAAGACATTATTTACATTATTCGGACTATTGTCCTCATCTTTGTTGCCATATTTATTACAACATTTTGGCCCTTCAGTATCTGTCTATATTTCTGAGATGAGGTATTATGTATTTTTATTTACATTATTCGGACTATTGTCCTCATCTTTGTTGCCATATTTATTACGACGTTTCGGCCCTTCAATATCTGTCTATATTTCTGAGATGAGGTATTATGTACACTATTTACATTATTTGGACTATTGTCCTCATCTTTGTTGCCATATTTATTACAACGTTTTGGCTCTTCAGTATCTGTCTATATTTCTGAGATGAGGTATTATTTACACTATTTACATTATTTGGACTATTGTCCTCTTTGTCGCCATATTTATTACAACGTCCGAATAATGTACATAATACCTCATCTCAGAAATATAGACAGATTTTATTTAAGAATTTAAAATAATTTAAGCGCAGTACTAGACTGGCGTCGAGATCGCATCAATTTACAGTTGAGCTTGATAGATATAGCCATAAGTTCTAAGCTAAAAATTTCTTTTCTTACACTTTTCGGTTTTAGAACTCCCTTCCGGCTCCATGCTTTGCAGCCAATTTTAATCTGTAAAAATTTAAATGCAATATCAATCGCTATCTACTGTCTTTCTGATTACACTTTTCTCTTCCTGCTAGTTATTAATGTTTCTGATCCTAATTCTTCCACATCCTGTAATCCCTTGTATTTTAGTGGATTTACTGCCTTGCATGGGGTAATATTTATTAAAAAAAATAAAAGTATTTTTTTAGTTAATAATGATCTAGTCTCACTAATTAACTCATAGCCGAGGAGAGAAAATGTGGATTCATACCTTTCCCAAAGGTATTTGCGTGTAAGTCAATATAACGGACGTAAATGAAATGTGAACGCGGCACTTCGATTAACAACTTCAAGCCATCAGCCATTACCCCACTTGCACACCCAAACATACAGCAACTGATATTCCCATACTGTCACCCATCTAGGAACTGACCAGGTTCGACGTTGTTTAACTTCGGTGATCTTATGGGAACCGGTGTTTCAACGTGATATGGCTGTAAATATGGAGATAGTAATGATTTACTGAAACATGTTCTACTAATTAATCCATAGTTGGGGGAAAAGAGATGGATTCGTAGCTTTCTCAAGGATATTTGCGCGTAAATAAATATAACGAACTTGACTGGAACTGGAACTCGGGTTTCTGATTTCAAATTCTGAGCCGTTATTCATTACACCACCTGCACATCCAAGCTTATAGCTCTTGTTTTTGTTTTTCCAAGTGGTCACCAATCTAGATACTGACTGGGCTCGAGGTTGCTTAACTTTGGTGATCGTACGGTAACAGGTGTTTGAATATCGACTTTCTAACCTAAACCTTCTTTTTTATTCATTGCAATTCATCTTATTACAATTATCATCTTTATTATCATTATCCTTATGACAATATCGATATTTGCATCTTTTTCATATTGATCTTTATCATCGTCATTCTTTTGGTCATATTCATCGATATGACTAATTTACGTATCAAAAACAACAATAGCTTTTTTTCTACTTTTATGTGCCGTGTCCCTTCAGGACGTTGGCGATCATGGCTCTCTACAGTTTCCGTTCTTGTCATTCTGATGGTCACATTTATTAATATAACCAATCAATACAAGCCGTGCAAAAATCATAGACATTATCATCAAGAATAGTAACAACTTTAAAATCTTCCCACATTACAAATACAACAACAAAGGCATATTATGAAACAGGAGAAGGTGAGCTTACGTCGTCAATACTTTTTAAATATGAATCATTTTGATCTTCATCAATAAAATACAAACTATCCACAGTCATCGTTTTTCATATCGTCTTCACTAATTAAAATAAACCTTATTGCAATTCAGTTATGTACTATAGGTGATACACGCTTAGACGGTCATCTTTCGATTTTTGCCTGACGAGGCAGATTTTTTTACAATTTCTTTCTGCGGTAGACCAGTTGCCTTCCAAGGTTAGTTAACCATAGCTGGTTGAGGGGGTGGGGAGAGAGAATTCGTACATTTCCCAGGGGTACTATCACATAAATGAATGTAACTGATTTGACTGGAATTCGAACTCGGCTCTGCGAATCCTCAATCCGAGCCGCTACCCATTACTCCACCGTGCCTCCTTCCCGTTACGTCATTATTAATATTCTCATCATTATCATATTCATATTGATCTTTATTATCGACATTCTGATGGCCATATTCATTAATATAAGCCATTCACGTGTCGATACCAATCGATACCAGCTGAACGAAAATCATAGACATTACTGTCAAGAATAGAAACATCTTTAAAACAGTCTAACCTCAACGAAAATCATCATTAACGTCATCATCGTCGTCGACGCGGTCATCATCATCATCATTGTCATCATCATCATCATCATCATCATCGTCGTTGTCGTCGTCGTCGTCATCATCATCATCGTCGTCGTCGTCGTCATCAACATCATCATCATCATGATCATTGAATCAACACCCCCCACCACCACAAAAAAAGGACAGCTATTCTCAATCCTAAATCATTTTCGGCGACTGCAGACATTTTCACGGTTTATATATTCTGCTCCTGATCCAGATTCAAAGTCAAATCTCTCGGCCATTTTCTCTCTGGAACTTTCATCTTTTACCGTTCTCCCATTTTAAGTTTTCCAGTGTTTCAAAAGGAAATTGTCATGTTAAGTGGAGGGTCATCATCTCTTTTGTTTGCTCGTAATTTCGAACCACATCAGCCATTAATTCTATTTCGCCATTTTTTCCTTGAAGAATTTAATTCTTTGTAATTCCTTTGACCAAAGATTGTGTTAAACGAAAGTCGTTTGTATTTGATGATCTTACAAATCAATTGAAATGTTTTTTGGTTTTTTTTTTCAGATGACCAATGGATGAAAATCTATTCCGTGAAAGGCGGAAGTGGAATCAACGTTGCTTCAACCTTTCTCGGTAATGGAGACTTCAAGACTAGGGGGCTCATGACCTGTTTTCGTACATATTGTCCGGAGTTCTTTCGGAGTTCTTTGATCACCGCTTGGAATAGTCTACCTATATCAAAAGTAAGAGGTTTCTTTGATTCAATTATTCCTATTTCCTCAGGAGTTCCTCTCCAATATTGATTCAGATAATATCCGCTCATTTTGAATTTCCTAATTCATTCTGAATGTTTTCTTGATCCTCGCCGTGTGCACCATATCTGTGATCCAAATAGCAACCACACCCCGGTAAACAGCTTCGACTGACGGGCAAACAAGGTGAGAGAAGTCGATAGCTCCAGGCCCTCGATAATTTCGGGTCTGTCAACCCGTGTTGCACGTGAAGACGGATTCCCAGCGAGGTCGGGAGGTATGAGATCTCTTGGAGTCCAACGGCCACGAACAAACCAGTTTGTGTAAGTGTCATTGGGTGCACCCGAACTTGGACATATATACGCCCTGGCCATCTACTGCACACTGGAAACGCCCGGGGTTAAAATCATTCCATCAGCTATAAACACTTCCCAGGACGACAGAGGATGATTATCTCATTGCAAAGATTTTCTCACTATAAACCTTTTCCCGCACACACCAAAATTTGATCTGGTAACGCATACAATTTGGCAGGGGTGACCACCACCGACTTTCAGGATATTCACCGCACCAAACTCTACGCAGCTAGAATTGGTTTCCGTAATCATCTCCGGATACACCGAGGAATTGCAATACAAAGTCGCCTTATTTCACGAAGAAAAAATATAAGAATGTGTCTGGAATGTGCAGAACATTTTATTAACGTACAATTACAAAGTGCAATAATTCAAATAATATTTAATTTCTTATTTTTTTGTGGGATGTGGGGAGAACGATTTACATTATTTCAATTCTTCACAAATTTATATATATATATATATATATATGTTTGTGAATTTCAAATAATAATCTTATTATTTGAAATTCATATATATATATATATATATATATATATATACTTATATATATGTTTGTGAATTTCAAATAACAATCTTATTATTTGAAATAAATAAATATATATATATATATATATATACATACATATATATATATGTTTGTGAATTTCAAATAATAATCTTATTTGAAAAATATATATATATATATATATATATATATATATATATATATATGTGTGTGTGTGTGTGTGTGTATGTATATATATATATATATATATATATTTGTGAATTTCAAATAAGAAATGAAATAATGAAAATCGTCGCCTCTAAGTGTTGACTTCAATGTTCACTTTTAGATTTACACACGCTCTATCTCTGATATTGAAACTTTATCCCATAAATATAGCACACCTTATGACTATATTTCTTCATATATATATATATATATATATATATATATATATATATATATATATATATATATATATACATATATATATATTTCTGGGGAGAAAAATTATTTTGTACGACACAGTGAACGAACTTTCTTAGCAGTAGGCCTAAAATTGAGTAAATATAATGATTCCACATCAATAAGCGGAAACTATATATATATATATATATATATATATATATATATATATATAACAATTTGAAAAAAGAAAAACATTATTACTTGCTATAAATGTGATTTATGTCTATTTTATAATTGCAATTATAGCACCATATACTAGTAAAAATCATTTCTGCATATATAATATATATATATATATATATATATATATATATATATATATATATATATATATATGTGTGTGTGTGTGTGTTGTTGAATCAATATTTTCCTTGATCTTTGTTATTTTGCACACGCATACACACCCACACTCACACACACATAAATTGTTTATTTGTGAAATGTTGATCTATATGCACACAAATTACACTAGATTTTAGCAAATGACAAGTCAACCTACGAGAGAGTGTGGTGTGTGTGTGACCAATGTAATTCTGTTTAATTTTGGCCGCTTCCCTTGTATTACAACGGCTTCCAGAACTTTAAGTCTTTCTTAGCATCGAGTTGTATATAATATTAACATTTTTAAATTTAAGAGACGCTGATAAATATTCATAACAGGAAGTTACTGTATTCGGACTATTGTCCTTATCAATTTCAATTTGTCTCCATATTTTTGGTATATCGGGTCCGTACCGATCCTTCAGTATCTGTCTATATTCCTGAGATGAAGGCCGAAACGTTGTAATAAATATGGCGACAAAGATGTGGACAATAGTCCGAATAATGTAAATAATGTACATAATACCTCAACTCAGAAATATAGACAAATAAAGAAGTTACGAATTTAACAATTTTCTTTTAATTCGTCATCATTTTTATATTCATGGATATTGGCTTGGGAAGAGAGTAATTCTTTCTAGATTGGACATATTTGAAAAAATCCAGGCGTAGATTTATTATTTGATAAGATTCGATAGCGTTACTCTGGAAAATTCACAACTTCCTTTTATTTTAAATATATAACACATAAATTAATCACAGACTAAAACAATTTAAATATTAATTACATAAAAAAAATGTACAACATCATTTACCCACTTTCGTTCATCGGGCATTAAATTATGTCACTTAGCATCTTCAGTAATTTTCAAGTTGATATGATGAATATTTATGGGTGTTCACTATTTACATTATTCTGACTATTGTCCTCATCTTTGTCACCATATTTATTACAACGTTTCGGCCTTCTCCAGTTGGTTGGAATGTCGAAATGAATCCTTTATTTCGCTCACTGGGGTAGACTGTTCTTCAAGGACACAGGGCACAGTGGATAAAGGCGTTAGTAGCGATCCAGTGACAGGACCCAAAGAGTATGAGTTCAATACCCAGTTAAGGCAGTGAAGAACTTGGAGAGGGGAATTAACAGCAGATACAACTGATATCCATTAGACATGGCATGTGGAACTAGAACAGTCTATCCCAGTGAGCGAAATAAAGGTGTTCAGTTCGACATTCCAACCATCTGAAGAAGGCCAGAGCGTATAACGACTGAAATGTTGTAATAAATATGGCGACGAAGATGAGGACAATAGTCTGAATAATGTAAATAGTGTACATAATACCTTATCTCAGAAATATAGACAGATACTGAAAGGCCGAAACGTTGGAATAAATATGGCAACAAAGATGAGGACAATATTCCGAATAATATAAATAGTGTACATAATATCTCATCTCAGAAATATATACAGATACTAAAGGGCCGAAACGTTGTAATAAATATGGCGACACAGATGAAGACAATAGTCCGAATAATATAAATAGTGTACATAATACCTCATCTCAGAAATATAGACAGATATTTATGTGCGTTTCTTAAATTAAAAAAAAAAAACCCTGAAAAGCTAACAATATTTTCATTTTTTTTATCAGTACTCCATTTTCTGCACCGATAAGCACTCGCCACCTTCATCTCCATCATTGACTGTTGATCAATACAAAGGATTTTTTATGTTAAATTTCAGGTTAAATTATCCCTGTTCAAGAATAACAAGGAGCTGCTTTCGGTGATATTTGATGGTCGAGGAACAGATTCGAAAAGTTGGTTTCAAATGTCTCGTGTGCTGAAGTCACCTTGGAAAGACTTTCACAAAGGAGCTCTGAGTGTCTTATTTCGTATAGAATTTTGTAAGTACAAACATTCTTGTATACCCTAAATGCTCGATTTAGCACACGTCATTTATTAAAAAAAACACATATATATATATATATATATATATATATATATATATATATATTATATATATATATATATATATATATATATTGCCTGAAGTGGACGCTAAATCAGCATGGGCGCTTATTTTAAAAAATGAAATTTTTACCAATTTTTATCTTTAATTTATGAAAAGTATGAAAACTGCGCCATAAAAAAACAATAACATGTCACTTTAACCAGAATATACTTTTGTTAACTTTTTCAAATTTCTTGAATATTAGCATCCACATCTTCAGCATCCTCATCTCCAATAATGTTTGTATTATTAACTTCCTCTATGATGTAAACATCCATTTAAATATGCTGTGGGACTGCGTACAGCTCGCGGACACTCACACATTCACATATCATTAGGCTGAACTATAACCAAATAAGTTTAAGATGAATTTCCACTTAAAGTGAAACGTTTCGCTTCGTGTCGCATTGAAAACTCGAAAAGTGATTTGTTTTTTGACTAATTAGTCTTTTGTTACTGGTCACCATATCGGATGAAAATTGGCAGATCTTTAGAAGCTAAAAGAATAATATATTCTATTACAGATTTTTGTGTATATGTTATATAACTAGTGAGTCAGTCAAAATGACTTAACTCCCTTTATAGTCTACCAATAGAAGGTTAACCAATCAGAAGCCGCAGAACATTCTATCCGTCGTGTATAAAGGCGGCCATTTTTGTTTATCCTACCCGAATGACCAGTGCCAACTTGTCAGGCGAAGATGGCAGAAGGAAGTACTACGCTCTGCTACTTTGCTGCGATATCCACTGCTAACCTGAACTACGCTTTCCTACTGTCTCCGAAATATTCACTGCTAACCTCTGGATTCTATACTCGAAGACGACCGTCATAAAATGTCTAACATATTCATCATGGTCATAGCAAAATCTCTTGTTAGCATGTATTACAACGTAGAATTTACATAATTTTACGAAGAAAGCGTATTTTTACTAAAATGACTTCTTGTCTTTAAAGTTCCAGATGCAGATAAGTTTCCCACTTTCGTTTGTCAAATATCTTTTCTAGAAATACTTTCAGCGTAATTATTCGGATGAGATCATCGCTATGGTAGCTAGACTTTATGAATCGAGATCTCATCAATTTATAGTTGAGTTTTCTAGTTCTATGCTAACGGTTTCTTTTCTCGCACTTTACGCCTGTGGAACTCCTTTCGGCTCCAATGCTTTCAAGCCAACTTTAATCTGCAAAACTTTAATCTGCAATATCAATTGTTATCTACTTCCCTTCTGCTTACTCGTTCCGCTCATTATTAATGTTTCTGTTCCTAATCCATCCACACCCTGTAACCCTCTTGGGTCTTAGTGCTTTTACTGCCTCGCTTGGGGGTGATGCCGATTTTTTTTAAAAAAGTCACAAACATTACTTTGTATAGAAATAGTGTGTCATTTAGTAAAATGAATTCAAAGTAATATATAACCGTCACTAGTGTCTGGAGAAACGATGTAAACTAAAATACCATGTCACCAATAAACATTGACATGGCTAGAAACGTTATAATACACAAGTAGCCTTATTGAAAATATATCTACTTTCTTCCTATACCCCCAGGAAGCACTTCTATTTCTGGAGAGGGCTATAATTATTGTCCGGCACCTGAAGGGTCCCTAAAAGTGGAAGTACTTAAGGGGCCTAGGAATTTTGCCACGGTACGTTGGTTAAACAAACTTTAAACCACGACCTTCTATGACATTCGCTTGCGACATTGAGCGCGCTGGTTGATATCGATATGTACTTTAATTGATGACCTTAGTATATTTTAATCAAATTTATAATTGCCTTTCTTTATGACGTACGATTATGATTCAACTAACAATAGACAAATAGGCCCTTTGGAAAATCACTTCCTCATGACCACGATATCGCGCTTGCAACATTAAAAAGCTGTTGTATCCGTTTTCATCCTTGACAGCAATCACACAACCAGAAAGACAATAGGGAAGATACATGTTGTTTTATAAATTCCTTGAAAATTAGCTTTTGGCTTTGATGTACACTGTCACTCTAAATTCTGTTTATCTAACATTATATCATTTCATCGTCTATACATGATGGAAATTATTATTATTATTATTATTATTATTACCGCGTGAGACGATAAACTACGTTCAACAGCAAGGCCTTTGACTAGGAGGCTTTGAGGAGCGTAGAACCACCTCTTAATTGCTGGTGTTCCCAGGTCCACCCTGATCTGGGGTGGTAGCACCTGTTAGGGTCACATCTATGGGCAAAGAGTTAACCCCAAAACTGAGGTAAAAAGCATTATGAAAGTGTAAAAAATAGGTTTTAATACCAGTAACACGTTTTTGAAAAAATATTGCCAGCAATACAATTTTTAAAATAATATTACCAACTATATATTTTCAAGGAAAAATAATATTAACAGGAATAGATTTTGACAATACAAAATATTACCAGGGGAAAAAGTTGTCGGCATTAAATAACCCATTGAGGTTGATATGCCGTAAACCAAACAAGCAGCTAACCAATAATAATAATAATAATAATAATAAGGTATGAACACCGCCCAGACCCGGTTACGGAGATAGGACCTGTTACAATTCTATGGGACTACAGAACACACACTGACAGAACAATCAAAGCCAACCGCCCAGATATTGTTATTAAAGACCACAAACAAAAACGGTGCCTCCTTATTGATATGGCAGTCCCTGCTGACTGCAATGTATCTTTGAAGATATTCAAAAAGCTGTCAAAATACAAGGACCTTGAAATAGAAATCTCGAAAATGTGGCATATGGGAACATCAACAATCCCTGTTGTAGTTGGAGCCCTAGGACTGGTTGGAAAAGATTGCAGTAGACTAATTGAAGGGATTCCTGGAAGTCCATGCCTCAAGGAGATACAAAAAAATTGTTCTGACAAGTACAGCCCACACTTTACGAAGGGCTTTATCTATGTAATTTCTTTCTTTTTTTTTTGTTAGTGGAAAGTGTCATGCTGCCATTTCTAACCTTAGGTCCCTGGGCGGGACCCGGAAAGAAATGTGCAAACGCCAGAAATCAAAGAAAATAAAAATAATAATAATATTAGTAATAGTAATAGTAGGAATAACGTATTAGAATTCTAATGGATAGCGGCTTGGATATTGATTAGGGGAGAGCCGAGTTCAAATTCCAGTCGAATCCAGAACAATGTAGTTAACCTATTTTAACAGACCTTTTCTCCCTCCATTTATGGGTAAATAAAAAACAGACTGGGTTCTATAGCCTTGGATGGGAGAAATTTAGTCTAGGGGTGGAATGGATCCCGTTTCAAAGGCGGTTGGACAAGGTTTTTGTGCTACCTTCCGGCTTACTCCTGCAGCCGTGCTGTTACCAAACTGTATATATCAATTTATCCCTTGGAGGACTCTCTACAAGAACAAGGGCGAGTGGGGAAACTAGACGTCTGTGCTCAGTTCTCCATATATCGAAGGTCGTAACGCAATCGCAATGTTTTACGATTCGTTGTAGATAGATAGACAGACGGATGGATGCTGATTATTATTATTATTAAATACTTTTCCTCCTATTCTCCTCTTTCACGGACCGTGTTTTCCCCAAAAAAATCATATGTTTCATTTTTAAATTTGTTCATTTAGAAAAAAAGAAACACTCTTGTCATTCTTACATGAAAGACGTTTTCAACCATCATTTATCATTTGTCTATACAAGGATGTTGATAGATAAATAGAGGGAGAGAGAGAAAGGTAGATAGAATAGATAGATAGAGAAAAGAGAGAGAAAAACAGAGAGAAATAGAGATTAGAGACAAGAGATAGAGAGAGAGAAAGAGAGGCTAAAAGAGAGGTAGATAGAGATAGATAGAGATAAAGAGAGAGAGAAAATAAAAGAGAAAGAGATAGAGAGAGAAAGAGAGAGAGAAAGAGAGAGAAGGTTAGAGAAAGAGAGAGATAGGTAGATAGAGATAGATAGAGAGAGAAAGAGAGAGAGAGAAAGACAGAGAGAAAGAGATAGAGAGAGAAAGAGAGAGAGAAAGAGAGAGATAGAGAGAGAGAGATAGGTAGATAGAGATAGATAGAGAGAGAAACAGAGAGAGAAAGACAGAGAGAAAGAGATAGAGAGAGAAAGAGATAGAGAGAGAGAAAGAGAGAGAGAAAGAGAGAGAAATAGAGAGAGAGATAGGTTTTAGTTCCTCTAGATAGAGAGAGAAACAGAGAGAGAAAGACAGAGAGAAAGAGATAGAGTTTTAAAGAGATAGAGAGAGAGAAAGAGAGAGAGAAAGAGAGAGAAAGAGAAAGAGAACGGGTAATCTACCAAGTATGTCTATGTGGATGCAAGTGGATGGCTGATGGTGACTAAAAATTGAAAGGGTACAAAATTTGCTTAGCGCTGGAGAAAGCAGGGAATTGTGGAGCCTTTGCAGTCATCAGGTCAACTCAACGAGAAGTATGGGATGAAAAGTTTAGGTGGCTTGATATTGAGCCAAGTAAACTACCAAAAACCAGTAGAATACACCAGCTTCACCCTTTTGACAAAGATGGACTACTCAGAGCGGGAGGGCGACTGAGCAGTTCTCATGTGCGTTTTGAAATTAGACACCCTCAGTAGCTCTCTACAACTTTCTGTTCTTAAGCAAATCTTGTCTCCTGACTAATCTTTTTTAGTCATCATCAGCCATCCACTTACGTTGGGTAGATTACTCGTTGTTTATCACTCTCTTGCCTGCTGCAAATGGATGACAGAATAGGCACTGGAAGAGATAATAAATATATATTGTTTTCTTTGAGTCGGAAAGAACTCGATACTGCGTAGAGAGACCTGATGGACCACGTGATGAAAGGACATGGAACGTAAACGAAGTCCCCAGCATCATTGGCATTCTTTAGGTATTTCGCGTAGTTGATAAGTTTTGGGGAATTTATTATCGAAAGTGTTATTATCGAGTCTAGATTGATATAAATGCATAGTCCATGTTAGGTGATAATTCTTTCAGTTGAAAGCCCCTCGTTAACTTGTTTCTGTCATATCGTTTGTCGATTCATCTAAATAAGAGTTGAGGGGTTCTCTCCTTTTTACACAAATGGACTCACCCAGTATATACATATACTACGGCTACGTGAAGACCCGAGAGAGCAAGGTCGAGTGGAGTCGAGTTGAGTCCACAGTGACAGAGTAAAAGGTTGTAGGTAACCGGAAGAGTGAGGGTGAGGTAACAGCGTCGTAGGAGTCACAGTGATCGAGCACGTAGACTCAGTAAGAAGTCATACAGCGATACTTCAATACCAAAAGATATATATATATATATATATATATATATATATATATATATATATATATATATATGCTACTAACCCGTATTCCTGGAACTACTAACCTGCTTTACCAGTTTGCATTATTACGTTAATACATTATTTTCATATATTCATTCCTGGCGTTTGTTATTTATTGGTACAGGATTTCAACCTGGAATCCACAACAATAAGAGAAGATACCATTTTTACACTACCTTCCTTAGGGATTGAACTCACAAGAGTTAGAATTAACAATTAGATAAAGCCATATTTTGATAGTGCTAAAGCACATTAAAAGCCACTATTTTGAATGCAGATTTTCAAAGCTGTTATATTTCTCCTATTGGAAGATTGTCTCTAAAAATTTTACTTTTCCTCTTTATTCTTGTTTTGGTACCAATATGAGGCTTCGGGTTCCGTTTTGTTCATCGTTTATCGCACACCATGGTGGAACCCTTCAGATCACGAAGGCGTTTCAATAGACGTCTAGATGACTTTCGATCAGCGGCTTTAAAAGATTAGCCCGTATCGTCCAGTGGTAATTGCTGGCATTCATCTCATGATATTTGTTGAAGACTTCCGGGAAAGCAGCTCTGGACTGACTAGAAAAAACATTGCCATAAATATTGTATACTAACAATAGAACCCGGCGTTTCCCGGGGATGTAACAGTGAGAGATAGATCAAGTATCGACCATCATAAAGACTGAAAAATAAAATTGACAAAGATTATTGTTTAAGGTTGACGGACACGCATGTCTTAATTAGTTATTTCTTTTTTTACGAATTGGTCAAACCCAAACTCAAACAAAAACATTGTTTTCAATCGTTATGAGTCTACCGATTGAATAGAATTTTATTATAAACAATTGTCTTGTAAATGGAATTATTAAAGCATTCTGAATGTAAAAATAAAAAAAAAGTGTGCAAGACAAATAAAACACTACCTGTCAAAAAAAAAGTTTTGTTGAAATCTTTTGAAAATGTAGGAAATCCGATCCAATATATAAATGAACACACACACACACACACACACACACACACACACACACACATAACACACACACACACAACATTCGCGATGCCTCTTAATCGTGTTTTCAAATTGATTTCGTGCAAAAACAATTGTGTTTTTCCAATTTTTGGCGGTGTCAAAACCACCGCAAGGTAATTTTACGTAGTCCTGTAAAGTTTTGTTGAAATCGGTTGAAAAATGTAGGAAATCCGATCCAATATATAAACGTACAGACACACACAACCTGGGTTTTATAATAAGTATGATGAAGAAAAATAAAAACACAACGAGTTTATACAGTTTTTATTGAAATGAAATTCAAAATAATTTAAACCCACTTCTAGTTTACCTCGGTGCTTGGGACAGTGAAGGACATATTATATCTCGGGTTGTTTTCTGTGTCTCCGTTTGGTCATAAATTCGCCAATGTTTTTGTTTTTTTCGGGCGAGTGTCCTTATTTTAGTTGTTATTGTCACAGCGTATCGGTCGTTGTATCTTTCGGCTTTCTCCCTGTATTTGGTAACTTTTCAGGAATAGCGTATCAAATACACGAGACTAGATTAATCTTCTTCTTCCCTGAGCACGTGGTCGAATTTCGATTTCTGACCATGAGACCCGGGTTCGAATCTCACCGGGTTCGATTTGTCTGGAAAGTGACTTTTTGATGTTATCGGTCTGAAAACTATACCAGACGTTGACCGAAATCTTGTGAGTTAAATTTCAAAAGACGGAGCTATCGAACCTGCGAAAAAATTCTTTTTTGACTCTAAAGTAATTAAAAACCGGTCAAGGTACTTCAGTTTGATGCGAAACACTGCCTATCTCGCGACCCAAATCCAAATAGGGATCAGTTAACTATGTGAGGAGAGCTAGCGGAACGACTCCATTCTTATAAGTCCCTCTCACAAAGGAAAAGTTGATAAGGGAGGGAAGGCAGGCCTTAACTAACAAAGTGACAGACCTTCCCATCCAACCCCTTTCGGTAAAACGATTACAAAAACCAGATCTCAAATGAGAAACACTCCGCCTCCAACGTCTGACCACAACCCCCAGATACGCAGGTATTTTCACTTATTTTTCCATAATGGTTGACCGAGTATGTGAGCGTGATGGCCTTGTTCAGACTGTTCATCAGGCGTTTGCAACAGGGATTAGCCAGCCTTAGTAGACTGACATCCTCGGATACGTGTGGCTGCGCCATATTACCACTGTTAAGTTTGGTGCTATACAATCTTCCTCTTTTAGGTTTCTTCCGTTATTTTTTATTTTTATTTATTTATTCTATAACTATTTTTATGTTTTTATTCAGTCTCCTGAGAAGTTTTTATACCGCCAAATCCATCGGTGGCTGCGCAAAAGAGACCGGTTGGCTGGTTGTCTCTGGACCAGAAACCGGGTGCAGTTGGGAAAATCATACGTCGTATCCATATATTATTTATTCGGATAAAGAAAATGCCACTCAATGGGACAAAGGTAAGTTTTAGATTCTGATATATTTCAGTTTCATACTTTATTTTATTATTTCACCTCAAGAGGAATGATATTGCTATTAAGGCGCAAAGGATTACTGGGGGTGAAAGAGAATGATATAATTTTAGAAGGAACAAAAAAACCCAATCCTAAACAAGAAGCAAGGGATAAACCTTTTCTCTTGTTCAAATGATGGGTAAGAAATGTGAACCAGGCGATAGATGAACCTATCCACACCTATTAAGCACGCTATTATTATTTTTGGATTCTGTTGAAGTTTGTTGTTATCTTATAAAAAAAAACTTATGATAATTACAAAACATAAAAAATAAAGTAAAAAATATCATAAAGTGTAACTTTTATTTTACGAGTGACCACAGGGACTCAGCTTCGGATTTGTTAGGAAATAAGGGAAAATATTTTTAAATCATTTCACCCCAAGTAAGGTGATAATGCCACTAAGACGTAAGGGGCTACAGAGAGTAAAAAAAAAGTGAAGAATTTAGTCAGAAGAAATGAAGAAAGGACAATAATAGAACAGGAATCAGGAAAACAGAAGATGGCGATTGACATTGCATTTATATTTTTGGAATATTATAGATATCAGGGAAGTACGAAATTGGAAGGAAACTCCACAGGCGAGAAGTGTGAGACAAGAAACTCTTTGATATCTGTCTACATGATTCAGTAGATGTAGTAGCGTTGGTTGAATCCAGTGACTTGCCCCCAAAAGTTGTGAGTTCAATTCCTGGCTACATCAGAGATGAACAAAAACTTGAAGGATTGAGTTAAAAAGGCGATAACTAACACTGAGATATCGGGAAGAAACATGGCATGTGAAACTAGAACATTCTACAGTGGTGGATTAAATAAAGGCTTCGGTTCGGAATTCCATTCACCTGAACAAGGCCGAAGCGTGCAGCGTTCGAAACGTCGTGAATATGGCAACAAAGATGAGGGCCACAGTCCACACAATGTAAATAGGATAAAAAGAAACTGTTCGAATTAAAGAGCTCAAAACTCAGGCGTTCCGCGGTCCAGAAACTATGATCATATTGTAGTATCTGTTCCGCTATCATGACTAGCTAGGACAAGCTTTGTGTCCGATCCCGCCTGGCATAGTGTATTTAAACATGTATCAATATGGTGATTTTCTTTCGTCTTTCAATGATAATCAGACAATATGAAAGGAACTTTAAATAAATAGACAAAACTTGTCTATATTATTTAATGAAACATGCATCAATAAAAAATTGCTGCCTAAATATACACAATATATGTACACACACACACACACACACACACATATATATATATATATGTAAATTTGGATTTGTCTGTTGTAGACAATAATGGATTTCATAGATTATAGGAAATGTTAAAAATCAACCAAAAACATTTTATTCACTCTAATCATTTTTTCTTTCTGTATCGGATGCAATAATAAAGATCATTCCAATAACTTGAACCGATTTTAAAAGGTGAATTAAGTTTAAGCGTCTAATGATTTTTTCTTTCAGATTTAACATAAGTCTTTGGCAATTTCAGCCATGGAAAGATTAACAATCAAACAACGTATTAAAGTTATCGAAGCCTATTACGAAAATCGACGTTCAAACAGAAATGCATTTCGTGCACTTCGCGATTATTTGGTTAACATAATCAACCAACTGAGTGTGCAATTAAAAAAGATGTAAATGTGTTGTGGATAGGTTCAATTCCTGCGCGTGATGACGAATAGAAGTGTCTGGATTTTCGGCCACATTCTCGTACACTGCAGCAATGTTTTCAGCTGAATGGCGTAAACGAGCACGCAATGGTGTTTTCACATCTGTTTGTTTGATTAGACGAACAGTTTTTCCAATTGCACTCTTGAAACTTTAATACGTTGTTTGATTGTTAATCTTTCCATGGTTGAAATTGCCAAAGACTTAAGTTGTTAAATCTTAAAGAAAAATTAAAAAAAATTAAACGCTAAAACGTAATTCACATTAAAAATCGGTCCAAGTTATTGGAACACTCTTTATATTTCTTAATTTATCAATTGTAATATCTAAAGTTGTTCATTTATAGGTTTATACTTGTTCTAATCATGTATCGTAGACAATAATATATTTCATAGATTGCCAATTGAAATATCTGCGGTTGTCCCTTTGTTGGCTTATGCATTTTCCTTTCTGTATCGTAGACAATAACATAATTCATAGATTGTAGAAAAAAACCCGAAAAACATCCAAAAGCATTTTACTGGTTCTAATCATTAGATTTTCTTTTCAGTATTTAGAAATTAAGGCAAGTGTTGACTGAACAACGATATTATATGCACTTTTTGAATTTAAGCGCAGTGCTAGACTGGCATCGAAATCTCCTCAATTTACAGCTGATCTGGCTCGATGTAGTCGTAAATTCGATACTAACATTTTCTTTTCTCGCACTTCCCGCTAGTGGAAATCCCTTCCGGCTCCATGCTTGCCAGCCAACTTTAATCAGGAAAAATTTAAATGCAATGTCAATCGTTATCTACTGATACTCTTTGCTCTTCCCGTTATTTATCAATGTCCTAATTCTTACACACTCTTGTGTCTTAGTGACTTTACTGCCTTGCTTGGGGTGAATCGGATTAAAAAAATATTAGGGGTATTTTTGGAGATGTCTTTTTTTTGTGTTAAGAGCTTGTACGGCTCATTTGACTTCTGTGTGTAAGTCCGAATTGTGACGACATTAAACAGACGAAAGACACCAGAGGACGAAGGAGAATTACTTTAATATCAGTTTGGGGTCATCCAAATAGTTTTCAATCATTTATTCATTCTTGAATTCTTTCATTCCTTTCCGATTTTATTTTCAGAACATGCTGTTGCTGATGTCTTGACCATTTACATATCGATTTAATCGATCCGAAATTCGAACTTTATCCACTTTACGATGCCTTTACCAGATTATGCCTACATATCATGGGAGATAACTCTGCCTACGGTCTCAACCTATACATGATTTGTTATGCATCATTTTAAACTTTTATCCGTTCACTTTCTTTTACTCAAAATTACTTAATGTTAAGCAGAAATAACTCCAAGACTTGTGTGTATTAATATACGTGTTTTATTGCTACCATCTTATCAGGAACTGACCCGCAGTTAAAAGCCCCTTAAGGCAATACAGATATTGGGCCGCTTATGTATATAAGTCAACCAACATTTAATATTGACTTTTACTACTTACCTAAAATTACAAATAACTTATGAAACAAGTATTTTTTTTTTACATTTACTACATCGTTTTTACATATGTTTGCAGTCAATTCGCTTAACTATCGTAATTTTTAAAAATATATTCTTGGATCTTTGCTGAATAATTGAAACAGCATAAATACTGTTTATTAAAAATCAGTTTCCTCTTTCATTACTTAATCAGTATAATTTTTATTCGAATTTATTGTATATAAAAATATCGTTTTCATACTAATCCTCTTTATGCTACTGTCTCGTAGCCAATAATATATTTAATCGATTATCAATTGGAATATCGAATGTTGTCCGTCCATATGTTTATATATATTTTATTTCTAGCATTGTAGTCAATAATATATATTGTCAATTGAAATATCTAAAGTTGTTCGTCCATATGTTTATACTTATCTTATTTCTGTATCATAGGCAAAAATATAGATTGTCAAATGGAATATCTAATGTTGTTCGTTTATATATTTATACTTATTCCTGCATCGTAGCCAATAATATATATTAGAGATTTTCGATCATAATATCTAAAATTGTTCGTCTATGTCTTTATCATTGTTTAATTTCTCTACCGTAACCAATAATATATTTGCTAGATTATTAATTAGAATATCTTAGGTTATCCGTCTATATATATTCATACTTCAATCGGCTCAGTTTATAAGT